ACCTGCAAGCGCTCTTGGCCACGCCCACTTCTCGCTCTGCAGCAGGAAGTTTATCCTGCAGCAGTATGGGCTGCACAAAGGTCCACGAGGAAACTTTTTCTGAATCTGCAGCTCTGGTCTGCACAAGTGCAGCAGGTGCTACATAATTCAAAAGAACATATTTTAAATAAAAATTCCATGCCAGTCGTGCGGCTCATCCATCAATCAGCCAATTGTGTGTCATGTCCAACCTTATTGTGAAAAACCGCGATAGAGCGAGTTCGCAATAAAAGAACCGCAAAGTAGCGAGGGACTACTGTATATGCTTTCATGATTGTCTACTGTCGTCATGTTGCGCCTGTTAAAACTAGAAAATCAAAACTGAGAGCAGAACCTTGGCTGAGTGACGTCACCAAGGCTGTTAGGCAGCAATGTAGGAGGGCGGAGCGCAAGTGGAGGAAAGACGGGCTGCAGGTCTCTTTTCAAATACTTAGAGAGTTGGCGCTGTTATTAGAAAGCAGTGAAAGCTGCTAAATCCAAATACTTCTCTGATATAATTACCTCAAACTCTCACAACCCACGTGTCCTCTTCTCCACCCTAAACTACGTTCTCCACCTCACTGAACCATCACCTCTGGAAGCCTCGACTGAGCTGTGCGACAACTTCTTACATTTCTTTTTGGAAAAAATTGTGACCACCAGGTCTCTCATTTCCCCTCCAACTCATGACCCATCCATCCCACCTCAATCTGTAGCTCCTTTTGACCATTTTGAACCCATCACTCTATCTTCTCCAGAGCAGGTCATGTGCAGCTTGAAACCTTCTGGCTCCCCCTTTGAAGTGGTCCCCCCTCGACTACTAAAGGAGGTGTTTCCAACTCTAGGTACGTCCATTCTTGATATAGTAAACAGTAGTTTATCCACTGGCTTGGTGCCAAAATCCTTTTAACATGCTGCCATCCAGCCTCTCCTGAAAAGACCAAACCTTGACCCCTCGGTCGTTTCCAACTTCCGGCCTGTCTCCAAACTCCCATTTGTTTCTAAACTACTGGAGAAAATAGTCGAGTCCCAGTTGAAGTGCTTCCTGGAGGATCACGCCATCTTAGACCTTTTCCAATCTGGCTTTAAACCCGTCCATAGCACTGAAACTGCCCTGCTGAAGGTCTTTAATGACATCTTCAGATCCACAGATACCGGTGATTCTGTGCTGCTTGTCCTGTTGGACCTCACAGCCGCCTTTGACACCATCGACCATGAGATCCTCATTGCTAGGTTGGAGCAGTGGTTCAGATCTTACCTCGCTGACAGATCCTTTTGTGTCTCCGTCAAGGATTTTAGTTCCGCAGAGGCAGAGCTTAAATGGGGGGTTGTAGATGAACAGATGCTGGGATATATTCATCATTTAACGCGAGTTCCTCATTTTTCTGGACTGAATAAAACGTGCATTGAATTTAAGGAAATGCAAACGTGAGACGTCATTTAAATTTGACCCATCAAAATGAATGCGGTCATTTATTTACAGAATCAAATTTAACATCAAACATGTACATTAATTTGGCAAATTATGAAAATAACAACAAAGCAATCAATCAGGAAAAATCATACGGCCATGATTTTTCCGTTGCTGACATTTATAAAACTGTACAACTATGATCTTTTACCCACACGGATGTGAATAAGCACTTTACACAGACATTTCTAAATATCTGGGAGAATTTCTACTTCATAGGAAAGTTTAAAGATGGAAAGAAGTTTAGGGGGAGTAAAGGATGGGGTTTGAGGGAAATTGAATGGTCACCAGAACCGACACTCTCCATCAGAAGCCCAGCTCGCCTCGGTACGCTTGGTAGGAAACTTGACCCATTACCTCTCTGATGATAATCAGCAGATATGGTGTTCCGTTAACGCTACCGGTCCAGCGTCTCCTTAGAATGGCTGTTGCCCGTCAGAAGTAGTGGCGAGGCTCTGTTCGACACACATTCACCTCAGTGGAAAATGTTATAATCCCATGGAACTCGGAAGAGCTTTGTTGTCATGTCAGGAACTCCAACAGCACTCCATCAGAACTCAGCAGAACTTGAGTAGACTCTCACCGAACTCTACGCTCTCAGACTCTTAGAACTCCGACAACTCTCTGAGTCTGTAACTCCGTGAGACCGTGTAGACCAGGAAGTACTGACATTTTAAAGGCTCTTTCCCGGTTCACTTTTTGGGATTTTTCATTGGTCAGAAACGACCAGAAGGGGTGTGTTTTTGTGACGTAAGGGGTTAGAGACAGCGAGAATTGTTATGAGACAGCTCAGAAATGTTCTCACAGACCGAGAGGGTTCTGTTTTGGCGTGCCTAAGACACAGGTGCAAAACATCTCTATTTACGTCTGAGAGGATTCTAAAACATGACAGTTTTAACATAACAACTTGTTTTTCGTTTGACTGTAACCTTGTAAACGCACACACTTGCTCATTCAAAAGCAGAAATCAGAAAAATGCATAATTACTCTGCAACAGCTTTTAACATGAGAATAAAAATCATTACTCAGTTAATAAAATTGATTAGTTCACTGCAACATCTAAAATGGTTTGAACTAAGACACTTTGATTATCAACATTTGTAAGATAGTAATGATAATAAAAAGAGAGTGTTCTTTTCACTTGAATCTTCAAGAAAGAAAGTCTCAGGATGGGTGAACCTGTATTTATGGAGTCAAATACATGAAATGACAGCTTCTGTCCCACAAGGTTCTAAAGGTCAAGAGTTTTGACCTTAGACTGGGTTTCGACGTAGGCTTAGTCCACTACAGGGTTCCGCAGGGGTCCATCCTGGGTCTCCTCCTATTCTCTTTATACCTGCTGCCACTTGGTGCTATTTTCCGGAAACACAACATTCCCTTCCACTTCTATGCCGATGACTGTCAAATTTACTTCCCCCTAAGACACAATGGTACATGCTCTATTCAACCTCTGCTCAACTGCCTGGCTGACATCAGGGACTGGATGGCTTTAAATTTCTTGAGTTTCAATGAAAAGAAGTCTGAAGTCATGTTGTTCCCTCCCAAAGACACGATCACAAACCACTGTATCGATCTCTCCGCTCTAACCCTGTCAGAAAAACAGAGTCACTAATCTGGGCGTGATAATGGACCCTTCCCTGAAGCTTAACAATCATGTAAACATGATTGTTAAATCATGATTGTTAAATCATGTTTCTTCCAGCTGAGGCGGCTGTCTAAACTGAAGCCCATATTGTCCAAAAATAACCTGGAGACAGTAATACATGCATTCATTACATCTAGGCTTGATTACTGGAATTCCCTCCTGTTTGGTATCAGTCAGACCTCCATTGCACGACTACAACTGGTCCAGAATGCAGCAGCCTGATTTTTAACCAGTACATGCAAAAGAGAGCACATTACACCAGTTTTGGCCTCACTGCACTGGTTACCGGTTCACTTTCGAATCCAGTTCAAAATACTCCTGTATGTCTACAAATCACTGAACAGTGTCAC